GGTGAAGGGAGGGCAGGGGAAGGCGGGGAAAAAAAGAACCAAGATACTCATGTAAAGGTACAAGATCCCAATGATGAATGTAACTGTATTTTATACCAAAAATGTACCAATAAACTTAATGGGGGAAAAACAAAAAAAATAAAAGCAACAAATAATATGTAAAAATTAAAAAAAAAAAAGAGTAACCTGATACTTGCTCTCCTTCTAGCAACTAGTGACACCACAGGCTCCTCCAGTCCCTAGCCACTACCTCACTCAACCCCACCTCAGCTCCTACAAGACCCACCCCCACTCCTATAAAAGGCACTTCCTGTCCTGGCCATATTGCTTTTGTCTCTCTTTTGTTCAGAGACAGCCCGGCAGATTGTCCCAACAATAAAGGCTTGTTGTGGCCTGGTCTGGTCTTAGTTTTCGGTCTTTTACCTGACACATTTAATAACTTTCCTCACAACCTTCCTCACAGTCCCAATCTATATCCTTGGAAAGGTCTATTTTTATAAGATTTAGGCAAAATCTCTTTTGAAGGTTCCAAATATTTTGGGATAGTTCTTTAGAATCACAGACTTGAGCCTTTTTCAGTGTATGATGCTAATAACCCTTTGAACCCTCGTCAGTAACCTCACTCAAGGCTGGTATTGCATATGTAAGTTGCCTAACATAGCACCTGATAAATCAAGCACTAAAATGATATCCATATCCCTTGCATTGCTCCTTTTTTGCTTCCTGAAGTATGCTATGGATTCATTTCCTTAGATCTTCTAAATTTTTGAAGTGGTCTGCTGTATCCTCTTTCCAAACATTTCTCATCCGAGTTCTTTAAACTATTTTTTGTGACAGCATCCAAATCAGCTCAACAGTACTTTCTGTGACAGAAATGTTTTGTAGCTACACTGTCAATGTTAGTCACTAACAGTATACTTTTTGAACAACTGAAATGGAGTTATATAGCTACAGTATCAGACAAGGCACTGATCTAGACCAACACTTTAAGAAGAAAGCCATTCATCACAGAAGAGTACAAAGCAAAATCTTAGGTGTCATCCTAGATCATATTCATGAACACATCTTCCCTAGTCCTTCCAAATACAGTGATTTATCTTAAGTAATATTATGTTAAAGTTATATAAAGGAGAATTTTAAAAAGCCAGCTTTGCAAGTGAAATAGTCTTTCTGTCTGTTTAGAAAAAAATAAAGGAGTGCTGCCAGAGACTTAAAATTCAAGTAAAATTAACAAAGTAATTTTTCAGTTTTTCTGAAAATAAAGATTTATTTTTTCAACAGGCGCACAACGTGTATTCTCTACCAAACTTATATATGCACAAAGAGAAAGGTAATATGCCAAAATGTTTACTGTGGATATCCTCTGTTGTTGGGAGCAATGCTACCTAATTCTAGGGAAAAATCATTTGGTTAGCCTAGTTCTCTTGCCTACAGCCCAGCTACAGAATAACTCCAGTTTGGCCTCCGGTCACAACTGAGACTTCAGTGATCCAGTAATGCTGTGATTCTCCAGGACAAGAAACATCCTGGGAGAACAAACATCTGCTCA